AGATTAGTCGAATTCATCGAAATTAAAAAAATAAATAAATAAATAAGTGATAAATAAAATGTTTATTGTGTAAAAATAATTTTGTATATTACATTTCATGTTATAAATCGATCTTACATCAAATTTAGTTCTAAATAATGTCAAGTCTGTTTATAATTTTGTGTTAATATTGTGAACATAATATCATCAATGTATAATTATTGTTTGATGTATTCACATTATATTAAATTATATTAAATTAGAGTAGAATGTCAAACATATTGAATTTAAATAAAATTTTTTGTTGTGTAAAACCTTTACATGAAATTATTATTGGTTGGTCAATAATAAATTATTATTGCTTAATAGTTTTATTACTAGTGACTAATGATAAGAGATGTTGAGTACTTAAATTACAGGGTTACTAATGGTACAGAATAATTCAGTGATTATAGTGACAGTGATAATCACTGATGCATTATTAAGTTCTTGACAAAGTACTGTGTGAATTATTTCTTAATAACGAGAAAGATCAGCATCAATTTTTTCATGATTAGTATGAATTGTTTTATATTTTTAATTTCTTAAACTATTCCCACATGGAACAAAAATGTCCAGTGGACGTCTTATGGACGTTACGATCCATAAGACCTCCATTAAACATCCACATGTCCGCTTCTTGAACCTCCACTAGACATCCACTGGACTTCCTGCATGGAGTTTCTGTGGACGTAAAATGGAGCTCGTATGGACATTTCCTGGAGCATTTATGGACGTTCCTGTGATCTTATATGGACGAATGGAAGGAGCATTTATGGACGTTCCTGTGATCTTATGATGACGATTTTGGAAGTTGTACCCAGTAAACGCTAGATATTCCTGGAATATTCACAGAATGTTCCACAAATCCAAAATTAACATCCTAAGAATGTCCAAAAATATTCTAGAATATTCACAGAATGTTCCACAAATCCAAAATTAACATCCTAAGAATGTCCAAAAATATTCTAGAATATTCACAGAATGTTCAAAGAAGATTCAAATAAGTGCTAAATGTTCTATTTTTTTTATAAATATTGGCGAATTGGTTGAAATAAAAAACCAGTCAATGCGTTTGTTGACTTTACTTGAAATTTAAGATTACTTGATTCCAAATGTTATGTCATACTTAAAAATTCGCACTAACACTGGGATTCGAATTTAGACCTGAGGCAGCATCTTTGGATTATCAGCTATTGCTTTAGACATTACACCACTTCTTCGATCGATATAAACGTCTTATATTTTGTTTATATATGTTGCAATTAACGCAGTAATATAATTTTTTTATGATTTAATTTTAATAAAAATTATATTTTTCTTACTTTTATTATTAATTTAAACTTTAATTAGAGGTGAGGTCTACGAAACACCATACATTCCATTTCGGTTTGAAAATATTTATAATAAATTTTTTTTATTGCCGTTATTAAATAGACAAAGTCATAAGAGATTATAAAATTCGAATGATTATAAAAGAGCATAATTAAAAAAGAGAAAAATCCATCTTATCGTATAAAATTTAATTTAATTTAATTAATTAAATTTATATATAAATATATAAATCAACGCTTATTATAAGGGGTATCTGTCTAATGCAACTATATCATATAATAAATGATATTAGCTAATAATAGTAATTTCTCACGAATTCTCAGAATATCTCAAGTAATGATTTCTAAAATATTCATTATAATAAATTTCTGAGGAATACTTTAGAATAAATTAAACTTTTGTATTGTTAGGAATAGCCTAAGTAAAACATAATAATCAAAATTATATTAATTTAATTTTTTTTGGCTGATAATTGACATAAATTTATTCATTGTTTGGTCAAAATGACGTCAAATTGATACCATTTTGATTCTTATGTTCTACTTGGAAAGCTATAATGCAATAGAGATTGTACTAAAATTCAATAAAAAATTAAACGTGAAAATCTATTATACATCCATAATAGATGTACAGTGGACGTCCATGATGGATGTTATATGGATATACATCATCGATGAATTATGGACGTCCATTAGAGATCCACTTATCGTCCACTGTGGAAATGGATGTCTGATGGAGCTATGGATGATCTATGGACATCCAATGGATATTTTGTTCTGTATGGGTTTTATTGTTTGTTCTAGTTTGTTATAATATTTAATTAAAAATCTAAGAGTACATATCTAAGATATTCTCAAATAAACACACTGATAGACTTTATTACTTCTAGTATATAATACGAATTTTGATTTAGTACGACTTTTAAATGCAGATTCTATAATATCAACCTCAGGTTTGTTAAAACTGAGATAAAGTTCTTCTAGACTACAAATAAATATATAAAAACATATACAAAAATAATATAAAAATAATAATATAAAAAAATATACAAAAATATATAAAACTAAATAAATTCACGCTAAATTTTGCTTTGCTAAAGTATTTCTGTAAACAAAAGATTTTCCTTTGAATTTGTAACATTTTATTTTTTATTGTTATTTTTATTTTCTGTTTGTAATTATTTATTTTATGTTACAACATTTTACTTTAATTACTTTAAGGTAATTAAAGTAATTAAATAATCAAAAAATTTAGTTTCTTAATTACATATTACATTTACATTATAACGTTCACAATATCTCTTCTCATAATGCTGAAAGTTGTATTTGATCAATAAAAAAGTTCAGTTCAATTTTCTGCCTTCTTCAGTAGTAAACCGATCATATTCTAATACTGGCAGAACATTGGCGAAAGAATATAGACAACAATAGCGTTTATTTGCTTAATGAATTTGCTTCTATTGAATGCGATAAAGTAGAATTTGTCTGGAAAGTCGAACTAATCTTACACCCTAAAAAAATATTCTATTTGTAAGTGTAATTCTATTCGTCTTTTTTAAATAAAAAAAATTATATGAAGTGTATTCCTCTTTAACACGTCATTATTCATCTAAAAGAGAGGACGCGTAAACTACAATCAAGAGTAAATTCCTCAATAAGAAATTGTGCAATAGGAATCCGAATATCCTCTTAAAAGAAGAGGATATGCAAAATATTAGCGGCACGCACTTATTGAAAGGAAATACGTTGCTGTTTGGAGATGTATATTTGTTTGCTCGTTTGCTGTTTTCTGCGTCCGTGACGCGGACGAGGCAGTAACGCAGCGAATCGTGAGAAAGAAGTTGAAAAGCTTTTCTGTAGTTATTGCACGATTTTGAGAAAATTCTACAGTGCAGTGAATTATGTACCATAAAGTAAAACATTTTAGGAAAGAAGCATGGTAGCTCAGTGGTTAGAGCAGTTGCCTAGGAAGCGAAAGACCCGGGTTCGAGTCCCGGCTTTTAGCAAACTGTGCTTTCGATATTTTTCTCTCTCTCTGGAACGTGAACGGCGTTCCGCCACTACCTAGTAGTAAGCTCTTCTCCTTCAATTTGGATGAACACTGACCCGCATTTGAGAATAAGTTTTCTCTAAACAATATCTGACAGTCAAGTTGATTTATGTTAGATTTCTAGGTTAGATTTTAGATGGAAATTCCTCTAGCATTAACAGGATTGCAATTTTAAATCCAGTATGTTATGGTTATAGGACATTTTTCTAGATATTAGTGTATCTTTTTGAGGCCATATATTAAGTGGAAAATCCTCTAGAATTAAGTGGATCCCGCTAAATAATAGAATTTTTTTGGGTGAACGATTGAAAAATTTGTGGCTATTGGCGATATACGCAATACGCGATATAATGCAAGTTTCTCATCGGCCGCGGTTCACTGACCTAATTTCACATTTGTGGAACTGACAAACATGTTTCAAATTAAACCCTAGGCAATAACGAAATGTCAAGGAGTTAGAAGTATTCTCCGCTGCCCAACAATACTGTCATTGTGCATTGTCGAGGTCAGTGAGAGCGAGAGTGCAAGTAGATGATTCATTTCGCGTCGCGTCTGTCTTCATCTGAGATTTCATTGGCATCTTACGTTCCAAACAACTCGTTCTCCCTGAAAACAACGATGAAAGGGAATAAACTTGTCTTTAAATTCGAGTTTATGAGAAATCGTAGGAACTTTTCAGAAAGATAAAAATAACATTCAATTTATTTATTTATTTTTTTAAGTAAAGGTCCATTAAAGTACTTACACACACAGTATAGTTAGTCGAAAGGCCATTAAAGTACTCAGTCAAATCAGTCGAAAAGTTACACCCAAAAAAAAGAAGCTACCATGCTTCTTTCACAAAATGTTTTACTTTATGGTACATAATTCACTGCACTGTATAGAATTTTCTCAAAATCGTGCAATAACTACAGAAAAGCTTCTTAACTTTTTTCTCACGATCCGCTGCGTTATTACCTCGTCCGCGTCGCGGACGCAGACAAATGAGCAAGCAAATGCACATTTCCAGACAGCATCGTATCTCCTTTCAATAAGTGCGTGCCGCTAATATTTTGCATATCCTCTTCTTTTAAGAGGATATTCGGATTCCTATTGCACAATTTTTTATTGAAGAATTTACCCTTGATTATAGTTTACGCGTCCTCTTTTTTATAGATGAATAATGATGTGTTAAAAAGGAGTATACTTCATATAAGACTTTTTACTTAGAGGAGACGCTTAGAGGAATTCCCCACTTACAAATAGAATATTTTTTTATATTATCGATTATTTTATTTATCTTGCTTGGATATAATATGCGACAAGTAATTCTTTGAATTGGTTTATTTCTCATTTATCTGAAATAGATTTATCGATTATACTTGTCAGATACTTCTCTCACAAATTATTCACGTTATTATTAATAATATATTCCGTACATTATGCATGCATAATGGACGTATTGAGCGCGAGCGTAAGTGCTGCAATGTGACAAACTGTCGAACCATGATGGCAAGTTGTCAGAGTATGAGGCAATAACATTAACGTTTTTTCCAGCTCTGAATTTTGAAGAATCATCGACACGGAAAATATTGTGAATTGTTATTCTTTTATTGCAGGTATAATGCAGCAGGATAATGCCGAACAAGTGATACTGGATCCGAAGTTAATTGCAAAACACTACCTAAGGACTTGGTTCTTTCTCGACCTCATTTCCTCCATACCGTTAGACTACATTTTCCTTATATTTAATCAAGTAAGTACACGTCTTGTGTATCATATAGTTTGTTAGTGCGTATCTTATTTTGTGAGCTGTAATTTCACTACACTTTGAAAAAACTCGTTAAGGGTCTGCAGGAATCATAGTGGAGATCTCTCGCAGAGAGCCGCGAAATAGGCAAAAGAATTTCTCAAATTTTGATCAAAATATGGAGAAAATCACCTTATATTTGTGATATTTGTAATCAGGAGAAACGTCTGTAGGATACTACAGAACATTTTTTTTTTTTTTTTTTTTTTTTTTTTTTTTGGAAAAAAGGTTGAAAGAAAAGTCAAATTTATTTGAATGAATATCAGACGCGCGCAGCATGAGCCCATATATTAATTTATTACAAATTTTTAAAACCTTAAATGCAAAATCGGATTCTTTAGACCTTTGGCACTAATGTAAGGAAGACATAAAAAATTGTTTGATGAACAAATGCAACATCTGGGTAATATCTATCAAAATATGTCAAGTTACAGATATTAGTGTAGCCTAACTGCACTAACTTGCAGCTGTGCGTCGCGTGAGGGATGCATTAGTATTCGTGTATGTATGGATATACAACTATATGTATAGAACGGTGTTTCGCGTTCTCGCATGAGATCTCCAAAGGCAGACCAGGATTAGAGTCTCTATAAGATAAAGTCTGGCCACTCAACTAGTTTTGGAAAAACATGGCGACCGTATATATGTGAACGTAACTGGTATTTATTGCATTACAAGATAAAAGTGTCAGTTTGGCTATAAATTGTTAATAGAAATAAGTAAAATTATTCTATATGTTGTTTCCAAGGTAAGATAAAAATTAATTTAGTTAAAAATTGTGATATAAAAAAGATTATATTTATTATATAAATCGTTATCGTAACTTCATATTATTCTAAACAATATCTGAAAAGGCAATTGATAATATAGCGAAATATGAATTTTTAGATTTCAAAATACCAACGTGCTGTGTTTCACGATGCAAGAACTATTATCAGAAATGCTTTTCACCGTATTCGCTTCCTGCAGATTAATAATGTTTCAAGTTTACAATCAAAATTATGTTTTTATTTATTCATTTCACAGTCTAATAAAAAAAAGACTACTAATTGTTTATAATTTTCTAATTTTATTTTTTAAATTATCCTGCTTCTCATGACAATTTCTATTGGTTCTGCCATGTTTTTCCAAATCTTGTTTTGACTAATAAGGAGGAACACACACGTGGCCAGACTTTATCTTATAGGGACTCTATCTTATAGGGATCAGGATTTACTCTTGGCTCCTGCAGTCTCTTAAAGCAACTTTTTAACTACTAGTCGAATATCGAGTCAACGTATTTACGTAACGATTCTTAGTAAACTGGTTCGAGCTGTAATTTTTTTTTTTATGAAAATACAGAAGAATACAATTTTATTTTGCATCAATACTCTTTTAATAAGAGGAACAAAAAGGAAAAAGAAAATGAAAACACAATCTTAGGAAGGTAAAACTCATTATAAACGATGCATTTTTCTTTTTACTACTTTTTCTCTTTATTTAAAAAAGAATTATACTCTCGTACTTACATGATGAAAGTTATTATAAAAGTTTTTAATAGATGTATTGTAAAACATTTATTGTATTTATTGAGAGAATAAATGTTTAAGGCTTCTGGGGAGTCGCATCATCCATCTCTTTTTAATGACGTCAAAAGCGAGAAAACGCATGCTAAAAATTCCTGCAAAATACGTCGAGATAAGCAGATATATCCACAAAACGACATTTGCGATCGATTAAGTACATCTCTAAAATACTCCGTACACTTTCCTTTTGTTCTAACAATCAACAGATAATTATAAAATAAATGTGACGTGCAATCGTCTTTTCTAACCTAATTTCCTCATTATCTTGTCATATTAATTTTCCGATTATCTATTGATTTTTAGAACAAAAGGAAAGTGTACGGAGTATTTTAGAGATGTACTTAATCGATCGCAAATGTCGTTTTGTGGATATATCTGTTTATCTCGACATATTTTGTAGGAATTTTTAGCATGCGTTTTCTCGCTTCTGACGTCATTAAAAAGAGATGGATGATGCGACTCCCCAGGAGCCTTAATTCTAAATTTGTAACGGTGATAAGAAAGTAATTTTCAAACGACAACACAGAATAATAGAAAAGCGCAACAAAATATGTAAATGTGCTAACATCTTAAAGTTTTCCTTTTATTTTAATCTTGTTTCCGGGATTATACAATTTGAAATTGTAAAATAGACATAGGATTATAATAGATGTTTGTGTGTGTGTGTGTATGCGCGCGCGATAAGTTAAAAAAACATATAAAATAAAATAAAACGTTTGCTTTTACGCAAATAAAAATGGAAAGTATATACAATAAAGATACAATCGAAAAAATTGCAAGTTTAGATGGATAACAGAAGTTTGCAAAACAAGATACATTATCAAATATAGGATCAATTATTTTCATTTTACCGTAAAATTATTTCAAATTAATATTTACGCTTGCCCTCATTCGTGATCGTTTATGAAAGTAGATGAAAAGCAAATGTAAAGTTTACGCTGCAGCAAACGAAAAAGTAACAAAAGAAAATACTTGCAGTTTCAGGATTTCAGCGAATCCTTCCAGATTCTACACGCTGGACGAGCTCTCAGGATTCTTAGGCTTGCAAAACTGTTGTCACTTGTTAGATTACTACGCTTGTCAAGATTGGTGCGGTATGTCTCGCAATGGGAAGAGGTCTATGTGAGTGTTCCGCTACTTAGTTTATACAACGCTATTCTCATTTTTTATATCATATGATAATTCGTGTAATCTACGTATAAAGATGAGACGAGGCGTTTACAGACTTTTAACGATTCAGGAAGCTGACGAGCGATTTTCCTCCCACGAAACTTATTACTTTACCTGCTAACAATGAGGCTCAATGAGCGTTAATTAATCTCGATTCTCAGTTTTTTTGGATCCGTCAATTGCAGAGACCGCCTTCGCCGCACATTTACGTGGAGTATTAAATTATTACGTCTTTATGCGTCTTACGACCGCAATAAAGAGAATTGGAGGTAAAGGGAACGATTCAGCAATCCACTTGTATATTATGTAGTTTGTAGATTTTGTACTTGGACAGGTTACTCGTTGAGTTACGAGCTTAGTAGGTTCTCGCGTCAGTGGTGGATTTTGTTCCGCAGATAACCATAATCACAGAACACTCTTCCACAATTAGTGTTTGTTAGTATAAATATCATCCTTCCTATTTTTAAGGGGTTTGCTCTTGTTCATTGCAAGAAGTTCATATAATAATAAATATATAAAAACACAAATGTGTGTGAAAGACGCAGTTGAATGTACATACAGAGTGTTTGTTGTAACGATATCCATGAGGTTCAAACCACTTTTAATAATTGGATAGAAAATAGTTACAGATTAAATTCAATTATTTTTAAGAAATTGTATCTGAACTGAATCTGTATTTATAACTGAAATCACAATACTACACATTCCAAAGAATCTTTTCTTTTTCTTAAAATAGTTAAGCTTATTTTAAATTTTTTTTTATATGATTATTCCTTTCATGTTATTTAAGAAATATTACAGGAAACATTAAGACGAATTCTATGAATTATGACATCATTATGTTACATTATAGGCGAATTAAAACATATTTACATAAAGCCTACTCTGATAAATGAAAGACATAAAAGTATATTTTAATACTTTTATTCGTAGAATGACGGAAAGAAGTAATTGATATGTCCGTATTTTGTACACATATACATATACATCCATCCAATTGTAACGTATGAATGCATTTTTTAGGCCTTAACTGCTGCACACTTATATGCAATTATACGCAACTACGTGTTTTCGATGCCAATCAAATATCATGATTGTAGGCATAAAAATATTAAGGTAAAATAAACAAAAATGAACAATTTCTGAAATCGTATCAGAATATTCACGAATTAAGCGTGCTTTTGTCTATAAGGTTATATCTATAAGGTTTCAAGTATATGATAAAATTCTTTAAAAAAAAGAACGTTCCGAATATTCTTATTATTGCATTTTATTATCGTTTAAAAACTGGTTAATTTCACTTGTAATTTTTCTCTGTCTGATTATTATAAAAACTCGTGGAGACCGTTATGATGAACATGTATACAGGGTGTCCCGAAGTCCCATGATGACCCTTGGTGAGAACGTAGAACGGATTGAGGTGAGCAAGAAAGTCCTGTGCCGTTTTGCGATATTCGCAATAGTTTTTGAGAAATTAATTTTTTTGTCTCAACAAATCAGCGTACAGAAAGCGGCAGCGGAAAGAAAGATGCCTTCGGCCGACGTGCGACCGTGACACTCGCGAATCGTATCTCGCCGCATCCCTCCGCCCATAGCTACGA